TGATATTGGCTTAAGCAGTTAGCGTAAATAATTATGCTTGATACGGCTATACTGTGTACATGCGGATGATGACAAGAAACTTTTAATATAGTTTTCATGACGTCTACAATAAAGGAATTTATTAACACTGTTTTAGAGAGGGAAAACGACCACCATATATTGTAAAACGAATCTGGTTGGTTCTGTAAAATATAGGTCTGTTCCGAATAATGGGGTTGCGATCTTAAAGCTAATTTTGGTTACTATCGATTGTCACTTTCTTACTTGCTGTTGTTTGTTGGTGTGTATTGACAAAAAGTCATGATATCTAATCAAAAACACCTTGGGTGTGAAAAAAGGTGCGCCCAAGAAAAGGATGAGTGTGCGACTTAAGGAATGAAATCAAAATTGGTGGCGAAACTGATAGCTACACTTATAGCATTGATAAGAATTTTACAGTAAATATTCATTTAGTAGTTAGCTAGGCCGCTTTTTGTCCTGCAAGGGGTCAGGGTAAGTGCAGTTTACTCTAACCCTCATGTCGTGTTTATATTCATATTCAACAGATCTTTCTAACCACACATAAGATCAAAAATCAACACTAGTTCAGGAGGGAGGAAGAGGGCTACCTAGCACCTAACCCTTTCTGGTCTACAATACCTAAGTTCCGATTCTGCAGCAGCCAGATCAATCCTTTTTTGGTCGCACCTTTTTTCACACCTAAAATATTTTTGATTAGATGTCTATATGTTGCTAAACACAAACTACACAATGATCTATCTGTGCTCTGCCCACTGTTGGTATCGAAACCCAATTTTTAAAATTATAAGCCCTTAGACTTAACACTTATAACGGCATTAGTGTTATTTCAAATTAATCAGGCTTACACAAAGCTTGCCCATATAGAAAAAGGGCAAAGGAATGTATAGTGACGTAATAGTAGTATTTATCCTTAAGCGAAATAGTTTTGTATTCCTGAAAACGTCAGTAGAACGCGAAAATTTAAATTTGATCTGAAAGTCCATGAAAAACAATCATCTGACAAGGTATTCTTTCAGAAAAGAAAACTACCTGACCTGAACTTTGTATTCATTTGAACTTAGGAAATATTTCACGAAACAGGAAGTGCTAATCCATTTCAAGGCGCGTAATTCGGAAAAAAATTAACTTTTAAGTTTTTCCCATAATAATTCATAAACTTGTTTCAGTAACTTAAAAATAACTTGAGTAATCTCATTTCGTAGTGGATTAGTTTGGTTGCTTATGTCCAGCACACAAAAAAATTAAAGAAAAATGGATGTTGTAAGAGTATAGCTGTGTTATAAAATAGTACCAATTATTCCCCAGTGGCACAGCGGCATATCTGCGGACTTACAATGCTAGAATCCGGGTTTCGATACCCGTGGTGGGCAGATCACATATAGCTTTGTGCTTAATTACAAACAAACAAACAATATTCCTCTCTATTCATTACTATGCACATGAGGCATTTGATGATCAGTCATATGACCTGAAATGCAAATGTTTGGTCATTTAATATATGCTATATACAGTGGTCTCACATAATCCTGCTTTATTTGTTACTTTGAAGTGAACCTAAAAGAGTTGCAATTTGTTAATGAACCGTGGCTAGCCTCCATAGAAGACATTTGGATACTACACTCGTGTGGACAGACTTATGTCGAATAGAGCTTCAGAATGTTTGTACAAAGCTATACAAAGGGTTATATGTGCATAATCGTCCCTAATTCGAAACTAAGAGACTAAACGGAAACTAAGTAGTCAACATCACCCACCGCCGGCTATTGGCATCTCTTCCCTGGTGGCCGAATGGAAGTCGGCCAATTACAGGAGATTGTTATGGATTGGTTATAAATGTGTTAATTTGTTACCAAAATATGGAACTTTTGCCACACCAATGGCTACCTGCTGATTGTCATTAGCATCAATTGTATAAGGTATTAGCTTCGAGACTGAATCACATGATCGTAGCCGCAAAAAAAAGTTGTGTCAGTGTATGTATGGTTAGAAACAAACTTCCAAAGGGCGGCCTGTATGCTAGACGTCTGATGAGGTGAATTGCATATAAATGAACTGAAGGGGCGAAAGTGGTAGCTAAAATATTATAGATACCAATTATCTTTTAATTGTTTTGTACATGTAAACTTAAATCTGAGAAAAATCGACTGCAAGTATTCTGCATTTAATCATATGTGAGTTTGTTAAGTTAACTAGGTTGTTGGTCTTTAAAATATCTTTAATGCATCGTCTTGGATAACAAGTTAAGCAAATATAGCTTGTTGGTGAATATACATAATGCACTGACACAAACTATAGAAAGAAGTTATTCTAATTTTTAATTCATTAATCATGCTCTATACAACACGGTAATGACATTTTAAACACACACAGTTTATTCTAATAAAGTCATCACATGTCGAAAGAGACTTAAGATTAAGCTAACATATTTATTCTTTGAGGTGCGTATGAAGTCAAGCGCGGTTTTAATTACTTTTGTTAGGCTTAAAAGAAAAGCTCCATTGCTGTGATAGCTTAGATGTTTTACACCACGTGAGATATGTTTATGGATTTAGTTTACATGAAACACAGAAAATTCCACGAGAATTCCCTATTTCTGAATAAACTTGTTAAAACTCTTACTAGACTGCTGGATGCTGTGTTTGTGGAGTTCATTGAATAAATTGACAGAATAAACTTTTATCGTGGTTCTAAAATAATTTTGGTTTATAAACACACGCAGCACCACAACCAGAGTCAATATTCTACCGAGGTCAAACTCGGGTTTCAAGCTATAACGTCCATTTATATATGTATATGTGCGTGCGTTGAGTGTACAAGCAAGTGAAGGAAGAAACAAAAAAAAATGAGGACACGACATCGGTGTACTCACAGTTAGTTTCGGCTAAGAACACATGGTCTTGGTAGCATACTTAGTGCATTGTTTGTATATGAATTATCGACTACAGAGAGTAGCTGATGTGTTTTTGTTATATGATCTCTATGAAATGTATATATATATATATATATTAGACGTCTGTACTGTTGCGAAATATACAAACGCATAAAAATATAGTAAACCACCATGATAATCAACTTAAAACTGCAGCTGTGTTTACAATATATGCGAATTTGAATATTACTGTAACTATTTCTTTGAATATAATCTGACGTTAAATGACGCAAAATGTATAAATAATAGTTCGTTGTGTATTATGCTCAGAAATAAATAGTAAATCCAGATTTGATTTATTGGCAGTTTAGAATGAATCTACTGAGTAATAACTCTATGCACTCAGGCGCAGAATGATAGCATTTTTGATTTGTTAGTACGATAGGCTTTGAGATACTGGATTCAATTACTTCGCAACCAGAAAGCACCTTGTCTTGTGCTGTTGAAATGACTTATGAAAAAGTTTAACTTGCAGATCTTACTTAGATGATTTCATTAGAGAGCAGGCATCACTAAAATAATTTACCCGGTATCCTCCCCAAAAAAAGATGATCAAGATTTAAAGATTATGCAACTCTGAGCTTTTAGCTCTGATGATTTTAATCATTTATGCTGGAATGAGCCTGGAGACATAGTTGCTTGCCCGATGATTTTAAGCATTAATGCTGGAAAGAACCTGAAGACACAGTTGCTTGCCCGATGAGTTTAATCATTCACGCTGGAAAGAACCTGAAGACACAGTTGCTTGCCCGATGAGTTTAATCATTCATGCTGGAATTAACCTGAAGGCTCAGTTGCTTGTCCGATGACTTTAATCATTAATGTTGGAAAAACCTGAAGACCCTGTTGCTTGTCCGATGATTTTAATCATTCATGTTGGAGAGAACTTGAAGACCCTGTTGTTTGTCCGATGATTTTAATCATTCATGTTGGAGAGAACTTGAAGACCCTGTTGCTTGTCCGATGATTTTAATCATTCATGTTGGAGAGAACCTGAAGACCCTGTTGCTTGTCCGATGATTTTAATCATTCATGTTGAAGAGAACCTGAAGACCCTGTTGCTTGTCCGATGATTTTAATCATTCATATTGGAGAGAACTTGAAGACTCAGTTGTTTGTCCGATGATTTTAATCATTCATGCTGGAAAGAACCTGAAGACACAGTTGCTTGTCCGATGATTTTAATCATTCATGTTGGAGAGAACTTGAAGACTCAGTTATTTGTCCGATGATTTTAATCATTCATGTTGAAGAGAACCTGAAGACCCTGTTGCTTGTCCGATGATTTTAATCATTCATGTTGAAGAGAACTTGAAGATTTAGTTGCTTGTCCCAAAGTAATCATAAAGAAGTGTTTTGGCGTCCAGAATATATTGTCTTTATCTGGGACATGCTGAAAGATTAGCATTTAATTCCGATGAAATCAACTAACTCGAGATTTTTCCCATCATGGTCTAAATAATCGGTTAATTGAATATTCTTCAAATTCTATTATATGTTCAAGAGAAAAACAGAGCCATTCATACACTGGAAGCTGTTATGTAGATAATATATCTTCCTTATTGGGTTCTCCTTATGCTTTAACAGCTTCCATTGGCGAAATGCCGGTTCTTGAGTGAATTAGGCAGAACTTTAGATCTAGTTTTTTCTTTCACTGTTAGGCTTCATATAAATGATATTGGAATAATACCTAACTGTTTGATCATGTTTAGAATAATGTAAATATTTGATCATGTAGCTTAGCATCTTAACGAGCGCCTAAAAACTTTTTTCTTTCCAATACTTTCACATGGTTTAATCATTTTGAAATATATTTGAGTCCACGCATTTTTACTGATGTGTATAGACTATTGTGATAGTTATTTTGATTTTTTTTTCTAAAAACGAATACAAACATCAATTTAGGGAACTGTGTGTTATGTATTCATGAGTTATGTTAAATATTACATCATAAATGTACTATGAATAATACATCTCATTAAGCATAAATACGAATCCATGATTTCGAAGAATAGAAAATAACCATAAATGTCTTGTTTTTTTTTAACAGGTTACTCCTGGTACTATTAGTAGTCAATACTTAAATTCTGGAGACGTTCTTCTGAAGATTAGCGACCGAAACGCCACCAACATGACTGTAGCCGAAGCAGAGGACTTTATTACTCAAAGTCAAAATCGCGTCGATCTTTTGATTAGAAAGTAAGGACTTCTGTATTTAAAGTTTAGTGTTGATCAGTATAAGCTGGAGATAACTGAGACTACTATAACTAGATAAACTATCTAAATTACAGTATTATAACAATAGGTGAAGGAACCTTGACATATAAAAATTGGGTAAAGTGTGAAATATAACATTCGAAAGCTATTTACATTTTAAAGTGGTAAAAACATTTTCAAATAAACTCTAATTTACAAATATGCATTCATTATTTTCATCTTTAGTAAAATATAACGTGTAACGATTTTCATGGAAAACATTGATAATTTAGTTAAAGGACTATCGATTATAAAATGAAGAATGTGCTTATGTGAGGATTTCCAGAACTTGCAAGTATCCACATATGATTAAAAATGTCTCTAAGTCATCGACAAAAATTATAAGAATAAAAAGGTTATTTATTTTGAGCTAGTAAATGATTTGTATGCTTTCACTTGTTTGATATGATAAAATGGTTCAGCTATTCAACCATCGTGTTATTCATCATTCTTCCACTTGTTTGATATGATAAAATGGTTCAGCTATTGCAACCATCGTGTTATTCATCATTCTTCCACTTGTTTGATATGATAAAATGGTTCAGCTATTGCAACCATCGTGTTATTCATCATTCTTCCACTTGTGATATGATAAAATGGTTCAGCTATTGCAACCATCGTGTTATTCATTATTCTTCCATTGTTTGATATGATAAAATGGTTCAGCTACTGCAACCATCGTGTTATTCATTATTCTTCCACTTGTTTGATATGATAAAATGGTTCAGCTATTGCAATCACCGTGTTATTAATCATTCTTCCACTTGTCTGATGTGATAAAATGGTTCAGCTATTGCAACCAACGTGTTATTGATCATTCTTCCACTTGTTTGATATGATAAAATGGTTCAGCTATTGCAACCATCATGTTATTCATCATTAGACACATCGTCCACGAGGCTACATTAAGTACGTAATCATTGGCAGAGGTAATTTATTAGAGCTTACTTCATAATGTTTTCAACCCGGGAACACGTATGTTTACTTTACGTGTGGTACACATGAAAAAAAAAATATTTCACACTTGATTCACATGTTTTTGGCATCCTAAGTGTTTCAATAAACTTCCATAACTGTAAGGGAAAAAAAGCGTGAGAGCTTTCTGGTAACAACAACAGCAACAAAAAAAAAATTATACAAGTTGTGATAATTAATAACACACTTCATCACGTTATACTTACTACAAAGTACAGGTCTTGGGCACTGTCGGATTAGCCTATTAGCATAAATAGCAAATGCTACGGGCCTCGCACCCATAAGAAAATTTTTTAACGTATTGTTAAAAAAAAGCCACAGAAATCCACTTGTGTCATATCCACCAGGGCTTCGGAGTGTTACAGTCCGGAGCATTACTTTATATTCCAGAGTGCTCTTGGAGTGAAAAGGAGCCGAGTGGCTCCGGAGAAAATATCTTTTTTGAATTGCTCCAGAGCGCATGCGTTTTTCCGCTCTGCTCCGAAGACCTAGTCAAAAATAGATGAAACCTGGAGCTGCTCCTTTATGCTCCGGAGTGCTCCTGGAGCGAAAAGAAGCGGAGCAGCTCCGAAACTTTTAATTGCTTTAGAGCGAATGCGTTTTTCTCTTCCGCTCCGGAGATCTGGTCAAAATATATATAAAGCTCTTAGCGCTCCCGGAGCGGAGCGGCTCTAGAGCAAAACATTTTATTTTTTATAATCGCTCCAGAGCGAATGCGTTTTTCCGTTCCGCTCCGGAGCGATGATATCCACTCGTGAAAAAATATGTTGTATTTTGATCATTGTCACCATGCATGAAAATATAAATGCATAACTTCTCTTGCGTCTTGCGTATGATATCCCAAGGTATCAATTATGTTGTATCGGAAAATTTTCTGTATATTGTTATTTGAAAAGTGTATGCAAAAACGAAGTACATGATATGATTCAATTGAAAAAGTATACTACACCTTCAATGTTATTATCGGTTTGACAAAAATGTGTTTATCATAATGGCAGATAGGGGTCATGTCTTCTAAAATTGCTATGGGCCCCACAGATGCCTAATCCGTAACTGGACTCTTGGGGCATGAAGCGATCAAATAGATTAAAACTGGAGAGGTTTATAGGGCTAGCTAACTTTTTCCTGTAACTTGACATTTTCTCAATACATCTTCGATCAGCTACAAATTATGAAACTTCACTATGCTGACAACATGTTTTTGCTAATAGTTACATCTTCCATATATTTTGATCACTACTTGTAAAAACGTTATTCATGTAATCATCGCCTCAGTCCTACGCGTATATATATATATATATATCTTTAAATACTGACTTGTATCGCCATCTCGTGGATTTCTTTAAAACTCCTACCATATGCTGCAGCGTGTGGGATCTTTGTGTCTTCTCGAGTACAGTTTGTTTGTTTTGTTTGTTGGTTTTTAATTATGCATAAAGCTACACAAGGGCTATCTGTGCTCTGCCCACCACGGGTATCGAAACCCGGTTTCTAGCGTTGTAAGTCCGCAGACATACCGCTGTGCCACTGGGGGAGCCTCGTGTACAGAGAAACATACATTAGAAACGCTGTAATAACAGCGTAACTTTTGAAGTTTTATTTTATTTATCATAGAATTTATAACCGTAATAAGATAACTGTGCTCGTTTTTGCTATATATATAAATTATGAACATTGAAAAATTTACAATTAAAGAATAATTTCCAATTGCAATTTTTAAAATAACGTGCAGACTAAAATAACACAGCTTTTATCAATCGATTCTCATTTGATGAGTACTTACGGTGTACAGTTACTCTTTTGTCAGTATTCAGTGAAAGCATATGCAAAACCCTACATGAAATCTTGATTATCAATTAAACGTCATAGAAAATTATGTGTGGCATTGTAAATCTGAACGGTACTTTATGCGACACATGGGTTAAGTGATCACTCCAAATACTCCATAGAAATCCTGAACAGGGAAGGCAACCAACAACAGCACCTACCGTCTACGCGGCTACTTTTAACTAAAGCGGAATTTAATGTCACACTTATAACGCCACCCTACACCACACGGTATATTCAACGGTATATCGAAGCTAGAACATTGGACCTACCGATACACAGCCCAGCACGCTGACTACTGAGCTACGCCACGCCCAAGAAACAGATAAGTTTGTTTGGTTTAGAGCAAAGCCACATTGGGCTATCTGCTGTGTCCACCGCGGGGAACCGAGCCCTGGATGTAAACCCTTAGACTAACCACTGTCCCATCTGGGAACGAAATGATAAGAAGAACCATGAATGTTTCTATTTATAGACCGAGATAATAATTAATGAATACAAAATACGCGAATCCTTTACATGTTATTATGTTACGTATTAGAATTTTAAATGGCCTGAAATTGAGTTAACTGATAAATCTAAATTTAGTAGTTAAATTGTACTTTGGATTTAGCAGTTAAGTAAAAGCGGATATATATATCAGTTTATTATACTTGCCAACAGGATTGATACATCCAATTTTCCTTTTTTTATCCCAAATACGTTTTAATATTTACACAACAATACCATTCACACTAACAGTTATTACAAATCGTTATTACAACAATGATTTATCAACAAAAGTTTCACAAACTTACAAACAATATAAAATCGTCTTTTTAGTTTGGAAC